TTTATGGTGTTTAGGGACATAAAGTGGCATAATGGTTAATAATACAGAAAATCCATCTAAGAGTTGTTCAAAGCATTAAAGTCATTCTTTTTGTTGCTTTTTTTTTTTAAAATTACCACCCCATTTTAAAGATCTATTCTAAAGCTTCCTTGAACTATAGAATCAGTGGGGAAAGAGAGACAGCAAACAAAATAAATGGTTCCAAGTATGGTGTCTGGTTATTATGTCAGATTACTCTACAAGTGCCACTGGTACAATGCAAATCAGTATTACCTGCCGCATGGTCAGGTCATTGCCAACTGAACTGGATCTCCCACCAGGTGTTTTTTGTGAGGAGGTTAGCTAGATGCTCAACAGGATTAAAAATAAGACATGTCAAATTGTGGATGAACCTTCTTGTAGGATCAACAGCCCTACTGGGCTCCGTAGCTATGTACACAACCAATGTGGTAATGACATAGTACTACTGGTCAGAAGGCTCCCTAGACTGAAGTAAACAGCCAGGACAGAGGGTTCTACTTGATGGAATTAATGTGCCTGTGACCAATACAAGCCTTCAAGTTGGAGGATATTGGCTGTGATTTGACTTGGAATGGGATGGGCTCTACCAGGTCTACTTGCCCAAGACACATTACATATGAGTGAATACCTCTCTAGTGTTCGACCCAGATATGTGGAGTTCATCAAAGGTATCACATCTTCCATCATCAGACCTTCTCACTCAGCTGACCCAACCATTGCCAATCAGGCAATAACCTGTGTCCTAGAGACTGTTAATCCACCTTGAAAGATTGAATGACATATATATATATATATGTGTATGTATGAACACAACAATTTTGTCTTAGAAAAAAACAAAACCCTGATGATGACAGTGTGCTAATGTCAAAAGTACTCAGAATAAATGAATATGTATCAACATGGTAATTTTCTCTCTTCCTTTAATAAGGATACTAAGAAGCATGACCATGAATATGAGAGGATCCTATTGGAAATAAGTAGGCAAAACTTGCCTAAATTATTCAACGAGATATGTCTTGAAAACATGCTGCCAAAATATATGCAATATATATATATATATATATATTGCATTTATTTTGGCAGCATGTATATATATATATTATGTATATGTTTATATGTGCAGTACTTAGTGGAAAGTGCCCAATATCTGTGAGAGAACTAACATTGTATTATGGATTGTTGTATGGATATTAGTTTGTAACCCTAGGTTTTGTGATTTTGTGATCAGCAGTCAAACTCTTTTGTGATCATGAGACAGATTTTGTCTGAGGACCACAAAAGTGTGACACCCAGGGTTACAAACTAATATCCATACAACTGAATTATATATATATATTGGATAATGATATATAAATTTTTATGTATCAAGAACAATTTTGTGTGAAAGATGCATGACAAAGTGGAAAAAGTTTTTGTATGATGTGTTTCATTGAACACTGTTTATATTTATATTAGCATAGCTACACATGTGATCAGTCTGATAACATCTAAGTCTGTTCATATCTATCTATCTATCTATCTATCTATCTCAGTCTGTTCATATCTATTTATATCTATCTTTTTCAATCTGTTCATATCTATCTCTCTATCTCAGTCTGTTCATATCTATCTCTCTATCTCAGTCTGTTCATATCTATCTCTCTATCTCAGTCTGTTCATATCTATCTCTCTATCTCAGTCTGTTCATATCTATCTATCTATCTCAGTCTGTTCATATCTATCTCTCTATCTCAGTCTGTTCATATCTATCTATCTATCTCAGTCAGTTCATATCTATCTATCTATCTATCTATCTATCTATCTATCTATCTATCTCAGTCTGTTCATATCTATCTATCTATCTATCTATCTATCTATCTATCTATCTCAGTCTGTTCATATCTATCTATCTATCTATCTATCTCAGTCTGTTCATATCTATCTATCTATCTATCTCAGTCTGTTCATATCTATCTATCTATCTATCTCAGTCTGTTCATATCTATCTATCTATCTATCTATCTCAGTCTGTTCATATCTATCTATCTATCTCAGTCTGTTCATATCTATCTATCTATCTATCTCAGTCTGTTCATATCTATCTATCTATCTATCTCAGTCTGTTCATATCTATCTATCTATCTATCTCAGTCTGTTCATATCTATCTATCTATCTATCTCAGTCTGTTCATATCTATCTATCTATCTATTTCAGTCTGTTCATATCTATCTAAGTCTGTTCATATCTATCTATTTATCTATCAATCTGTTCATATCTATCTATTTATCTATCAATCTGTTCATATCTATTTATCTATCAATCTGTTCATATCTATCTATCTCAGTCTGTTTATATCTCTCTCTCTATCTAAGTCTGTTTATATGTCTCTCTCTGTCTATCTCAGTCTGTTTATATTTCTCTCTCGATCTATCTATCTATCTTTCTCAGTCTGTTCATATCTATCTATCTATCTATCTATCTATCTATCTATCTATCTCAGTCTGTTCATATTTATTTACCTCCGTCTGCTAGTAAATTTCCCAGAATAATAATTCTGTGGATAAGACAAATTGGTATAAAAATGACAATTAGAAAAAATCTTTACTTTTTGCCAACGCGTTTCGTCTTCCGACTTTATGAAAGCAAATAATGAAAGCGAAATCTTTTTGTTGTCATAGTTACATTTTTTTAAATTTTGGATTTAATGTAACTATGACAACAAAAACATTTCACATTTCAAAATGTCATTTTACTGTATACACATGTTTGAGTAGATGCCCTATTTTTTAAATAGCATGAATTAAGTTTATCAACCTTTGACACATTCAAGAGACTTAATAAATAAAATGTGCTTTCCAGCAGGGTATGAGCCTGTGTATTTCTTTATAGCGGAAACCAGGTTTGAACTGTTCCGGAGACCACCTATTCTTTATTAAGTCTCTTGAATGGGCAAGCTATTAAAAGTAATTCATACTGATTAAGAAACAGGGCATCTATTCAGACAGGTTTATTCAGTAAAATAACATTTAGGATAATAAGAAATACTGTCGTATTAAAAATGAAACCGATTGATTCTTAAGAAATAGTTTAGGTTGAGATAGATAGATCTCAACAGACTGAGATAGATGTGAACAAATGGAGATAAATAGTTACATGTGAGCAGACTGAGAGATAGATGTGAACAGACATAGATAAATAGATGTGAACAAGACAGACATAGATGTAAACATACTGAGATAGTATATAAGAACTAACTGAGATAAGAAGATATGAACAGATTGGAATAGATGGATGTGAAAAGACTGAGAGAGATAGATGCAAATAGATTGGTAAATAGAAGTGAACAGCCTGAGATATATATATATATATATATATATATATGAACAGACATAGATAGGTGTGAACACACTGAGATAGATAGTAGATATGAACTGAGATAGATGGATAGAAGTGATGAGACGGAAATAGATAGACAGAGAGAAGTGAACAAATGGAAATGGATAAATATGAAGAGACTAAGATACATAGAAAAGACTGAGATAGTTATATATGATCAGACTGACATCGATATATAGATGTGAACAGACTGAAATAGATGCAGAGATAGATATATAAGTACAGACTGAAATAGATATATGTGAAAAGACTGAAATAGATGGATAGATGTATATATAAGAACAGACTGAAATAGATGGATATATAAGAACAGACTGAAATAGATATATATGAATAGACTGAAATAGATATATATATGAATAGACTGAAATAGATGGATATATAAGAACAGACTGAAATAGATGGATATATAAGAACAGACTGAAATGATGGATATATAAGAACAGACTGAAATAGATGGATATATAAGAACAGACTAAAATAGATGGATATATAAAAATAGACTGAAATAGATATATATATGAATAGACTGAAATAGATGGATATATAAGAACAGACTGAAATAGATAGATATATAAGAACAGACTGAAATAGATATATATGAATAGACTGAAATAGATGGATAGATGTAAATATAAGAACAGACTGAAATAGATGGATATATAAGAACAGACTGAAATAGATGGATAGAGATATATATATGAGCAGACTGAAATAGATGGATATATAAGAACGGACTGAAATAGATGGATATATATAAACAGACTGAAATAGATGGATAGATGTATATATAAGAGTAGACTGAAATAGATATATATATGAATAGACTGAAATAGATGGATATATAAGAACAGACTGAAATAGATATATGTGAATAGACTGAAATAGATGGATAGATGTAAATATAAGAACAGACTGAAATAGATGGATAGATGTATATATAAGAGCAGACTGAAATAGATGGATATATAAGAACGGACTGAAATAGATATATATATGAATAGACTGAAATAGATGGATATATAAGAACAGACTAAAATAGATGGATATATAAAAATAGACTGAAATAGATATATATATGAATAGACTGAAATAGATATATAAGAACAGACTGAAATAGATGGATATATAAGAATAGACTGAAATAGATCGATAGATGGATATATAAGAATAGACTGAAATAGATAGATGGATATATAAGAATAGACTGAAATAGATGGATAGATGTATATATAAGAGCAGACTGAAATAGATGGATATATAAGAACGGACTGAAATAGATATAGATATGAATAGACTGAAATAGATGGATATATAAGAACGGACTGAAATAGATATATATATGAATAGACTGAAATAGATGGATATATAAGAACAGACTGAAATAGATGAGAATAGACTGAAATAGATAGATGTGAATAGACTGCAATAGATATGCACAGAATGAAATATATAGATATGGATGGATATAGACTGATACTACTACAGGTATATAAAAAGAAAATTTTACAACTTAAACAAAAAAAAACATGAAAAAATATAAAAATAAAATGAAGAGCTCAATGTTTTAAAGAAAAGAGCCATCTAAGATTAATTATAAATGAATTACTTGCCATATAATTCCTGAAATGACAAATGATTCGGGGTGGGTTAATTAGCTGATAATATGACAGGAAAGAATTTGATGAAAATTCAACCATATGAAGTAGTATAAATAAATGTGTGTGTGTGTACATACATATATGCTCCACACATAGAGGTCTTGAAAAGCTCTCAGTCTGACTAACTTAATGACCAAACATCAGATTCTTTTTTGGGAAAGGCTAAGAACTTTTCAACACCCACTTTATATATAATGTATGAGAGAGAGAGAATTTACAAATATTCTTTCAGATGTATATTTATAAAAATTCAGTATATACAAATATGTAATTTTTTTAATTAATTTTTTATTCACCATTATTTTTTATTACTATAAATGTTATTTTTAGTGGATAAAAAAAAACACAAATATATGTACCCACTAAAAATAATGTTTCTAGAAACAGGTGTGTGTATATATAAATGTATATAAACACACACACACACACAGTGCGATAGATAAATTGTCCTCTAAATTATGCAAAAATGAAAATAACACTGACATCTCATTTTAACAGATAAACTTACCAAATTACATAAAAAAAAATCTTAAAATACTAAAGAGTAAATTTATTCAATAAAATTGCCATTGGCTTCAACCAAGGCCTCCAGATGATTTCAGAATCTCCTATAACTTTTCTGGATGGTCTCCTTGTTTAAGTTGGTAAATGCTGCCATAATCCTTGCCTTCAGTTCATCTTTGGTATTACAAGTTTTGTTGGTCTCTTGCTCAACTGCACCCCACATATAATAATCAAAGAGGTTACAATCTGGGGAGTTAGGTGGCCAGATGTAAGGAGTGATGCTGTCACAGAAATTGACAATCATGACTGGGTTCTACTGCTTGTGTTGCATGGGGCAGAGTCCTGTTGCTAGACATCGCAGCAGCAACCCTCTTGTCTCAGGAAAGTACTACCTCCTCAATGCACTTGATGTAGGCCCTTGTGTTGATTCTGAGGCCCTCACCAACAAATTTGAGAGTTCTTTCCTTATTGAAATGATCAGTGTAAGTTTTCTGAGCTGCTGTACTTTTGTAATCATCATTAGATTCCTCCAACTCTTTCCGCATCCTTTGCACTGTCTTCAGATTGAGTGCAAATGCTAAGTGAATTGCATCATGGTGCTCTTTTTTTCACAGACAGTGCCCAACTGAGCCTACTATACTGTGTAGTCAACAATATATATATATATATATATATATATATATATATATATAGTTCATAGTGACAATTCATTGCCAACATATTAGGGAGCCCCACACCAGAAAAATACCTCTTAGCCAACATATAGAAGAATACGGAGCAGAAAATCTGCCAAGTTTTAGTGTCTTTCCATTCTACCAGTGTGACTACAGAACCACTGAACAAAGGAGGATTAATGAAGAAACATTTTTCATCAACAAATTCAAGCCAATACTTAATTCATTGCATAAATAGATTCTACCAAATTTTCCTTAGCATAAACGACATATATAGCCACTTACACCCCTTGATTATTTGCTATTTTTCATTTTTATCATTTGTTCAAAACATAAGCGTCAACACAAGGAGATACAAATAGTTAAAACCTTTTTGAAAAGCAAAGCGAAACCAGTTAAAGTAAAAAAAAGTAAAACTCAAATTATTTTTCTAGGAAAAAAAACACTGAAAATCCAATTGTAAGTAAAAAAGTTTTAATTTTAATTTTTCTCTGTAAAAATAGAAATATTAGAAATAAATATAAATATTTGGTGCCTTTTCCAAATTCTTATTTTAGTCTATACAACAAGTTTCTGTACAGAATCTTTGTAACAATTTCCTTTTTTTAACCAATATATATAAGTGGACATTGAAGTCAACACCTATCAGCAACAGCCTGTTTCATGCTTAAATGCAATCATAAGGCCACCATATGCTGATGATTGCAATTAAGCATGAAACAGACTGTTGCCACTGTGTGTTGACTTTAGTGTCCACTTTTATATTTGCATACACTCTATCCCTAATATTGAGAACTTTAATCAATAAATATATCATACCTTAAAACTATATTTTATCATATATATAATATTTATTATTTAAAATGTTATTTTTAGTGGATACCCTTGCTTCAAATAAACACCCTTGTTTGAAATAGGTGTCCCATTATTTATTTTATTTTAAACAGTGTGTATTCCACCTATTGGCTTGCACACTCAAGAAAACTGTGTTCTCCAACAGGCTTCAGATCTGTGTAACTACCGTTTGACACAGCATGCTTTAGACTGCTCGGTTACAGAAAGCATTACAACCTAGTGAGCTTATATTTAGTCTTTCAAAGAATACACACTTCCTCTTTCAGTTATCCTCAAAAGCCCAGTTTTGTATCCGAAGTGTAAACAAACAATTTCTAAAGAATTAATAGGTTTTTTTTTCTTAATCCAACACTTTTGACTTCAAACATTATATAGCCATGTTTGAAATAGATTCCCATTTTTTATTTTA